GTGACAGAACTCAGTTCCTGGTGAATGTGGGACTCAGGCTCTGATTTCTGTTGCTATCTACCAGGGATCTCTTTGAGCTCCTAGAAGCTACCCTCATTCTCTACTGTGTAGAAGGAGAGGTTTATGTGACCCCTTCCATTTTCAAAGGCAGAGCAGGAATCTCCCTCACCTGGAATGGCTCCCACACTTGGAATCACTGGCTTCAGGAAGAGCCCAAGCCCATTTAAGGGTTATCTGATTAGATCAGGCTCACCCTGGAAAATCTCAAAGGCAAATGCACGATATATCAGGAACAAACCACATTGTATTCCCTGGAATTATACAAGGGTTACAGATTCTGGAGATTATCTTAGAATTCCATGTACCATGAAAGTACAATGCAACATCTGTCTTTTCAAACCTCTAGTCTTCCTTTCAGAAGGAATGATTATGAGCACAAGCCCCCAAAAGTAATGAGATCATTGTAGTTTAGACATAAAATGGGCTCCAAAGCCTCAAATGCTTGGAAGGCAATTAGATCATGGGAGCACTGCAGCTGACATGCTGTTGGGTCACTGGCAGTAGGACCTGGAAGGGTTCATCTCCCTGCCCAGTTCTTTCCTGCTCTCTCTGCTGCCTGGTCACCATGACGAGAGCAGCTCTCCTTTGCCTGGGTTCTTCCACCATGTCGTCCTGCTTTGAGCAAGCTAACCATGGACTGAACCCTCAGGAATCTGTAAGCCAAACTAAACCTCTCCTCTTTTAATTTTTTTATTTCAAGGAGAAAAGAACAAAAACAAATTAACAAAGACAAACAAAACAACGCAAAAAAAATAAAAACAATACAGAATTTCAAAAAGGTGATATGAAATTAACTATGGTTGTTATATTAAATATTCTTCTTTTAAACTGTAACAAGGATTTAATTAAATCTAATCCTGCTTAAAAGTATAAAAGTACTAAAAGTCAATGCAAAAAAAGTATTTACTAGTTGGTATTTTGGAGAAACATACAGGGTATTATAAATTCATAAGTTGCAGAAATCAGAGATCGTTCTTAATAAATGCATCATCTGAAAGAGAAGACAGGCTACACACACCTAGGGTGTACATTTTGATGTTTTTAAATTGTGTGTATTCTTTATTTTTTATTTATATATAAATAGGGGTAGTAAATTATATGTAATACTTTTTAAAATTTATTTTTATGTGCGACCTTTTGGCAGATTTGGACATGCTCCTATCATACTTTAATCTTTTCCCTCCCATCATCCTCCACTGCCTCACTGTCCTCCCAGTTTGGCATTTTGGGGGATTCAGTTCCTATAATGAACTTTGCTCATCTCCTTATGCCCTCTGTCCCCTTCCTCTTGTCCAATAATGTCTCCCATTTAGATTCCATATATTATGGAGAACATGTGACATTTACCATTCTGAGTCTGGCGTATTGTTTCCAACACAATGTTCTCCAGATGGATCCAATTTTCTTCACATGACAAAATTGTGTTCTTTTTAATGGCTGAATAATACTTCACTATGTACACATACACATTTTCTTTATTTACTTGTCTTAATTACTTTCTCATCACTGGTACAAAATACCTGACACCCACAGCTTAAAGGAGAGGAGGTTTATCTGGACTCACAGGGTAGAAGGTTCAATCCATAGTCACCTGGCCCCAAGGCATAAACGACAGGGCAGAGGGGTCTGGTGTAAGAAAGCTGCTCAAGTCATGGTGCACAGGAAGCAGAAAAGGAGGAGCTAGGGGAAGAGCTAAACCCTTCCAGACCACACCCCCAGTCTCCCCATTCCACTATGCCCTACCCCCTAGTAGCAAGTCAGCTGTGTTACCCTCATGATTCAGTCACCCTCCACAACCCCTATCTCTGACCCCATGAGGTTTTGGGGGGACATCTACATCCAAACCATGACACATATTCAGCTACTGATGGGCCCTAGGCTGGTTCCATATCTTGGCCACTACAAATTGTGTTACAATAAACATGGGTACAAGATGTCCCTGTACTATACTGACTTTAATTCCTTTCGTATATAGCTCTATAGTACCATATTCTTTCTGTTAATATGGCTTTGTAATGTAATTTGCAAATGTGTATTGTGACACTGCCAGTCTTGCTCCCCCTGCCCCCCTTAGGATTACTTTGGCTATTCAGGGGCTTTTGTGTCTCCATATGAATTTTAGGATTATTTTTTTCCAGTTCTGTAAAGAATGTCATTGCTATTTTGGTGGGGATTGCACTGAATCTGTAGATTGTTTTTGGTAACATGGCCATGATTTTTGTTTTGCTTTGTTTTGGCAGAGTCTTGCTATGCAGTCCAGGCTGGCACTGAACTCACCATGTAACCGAGGGTGGTCTTGAACTCATGGCAATCCTCCTGGCTCCGCCTCTGGAGTGCTGGGATTACAAGCATGTGCTATCATGCTTGACCTTAACATAACCATTTTAATGATATTAATTTGCCAATCCATGAACATGGGAGGCCTTTCCATTTTCAAGTGTCTTTTTCAATTTCTTTCTTCAGTGTTCTAAAATTTTCTTTGTAGAGGTCTTTTACCTCCTGGGTTAGATCAATCCTTTCTTGGTTAGATTGGTTAGTTTTTTTAACCTACCGTGAGTAAATTGTTTTCCTGTTTTTTTTCTTAGCTGCTCCATTTCTGGTATATGAAAAAACCATTGATTTCTAGCATTGATTTTATATCCTGCTACTTTGCTGAGTTTATTTATCAGCTCCACAGGCCTGTTGGTGAAGCCTTTAGGATCAGCTCAGTATAGGATCATATCATCTGCAACAAAGATACTTTGACTTCTTTCCTTTCTACCTGCTGGAACTAGATATTAACCTGCTGTCAGAATTTACATCCCAGGCATCTTGGGTTTGCACCCTGACTCTGCTGATTCCAGCTGTGTGACCTAGGCAAACTGTCAATCTGTGCCCATTTATTTTACCTGTAAATTAGAATCATAGGAGTAACTACTTCATCGAGGGGTCTGTGTGTGTGTGTGTGTGTGAAAGAGAGAGAAAGAGAGAGAGAGAGAGAAAGAGACACAGAGAGAGAGAGACAGAGAGAGAGAGACAGGGGACAGAGTCAAACCATGTAGCTCAGGGTGGTTTTAAACGCACTATGCAGCCTAGGCTGGCCTGGAACTTGCAGCAATCATCCTGCCTCAACCTCCCGCGTTCTAGGATTACAGGTGTGCCCTGCCACACTCAGCCATCGAGTTGTTTTTGAGGATGAAATTAAGCACTTAGAATAAGAACAGCTCTGGCTCTCACTTCCTCTGTGCTGGGCAAAGACGACCCTTGGAAGCCATTATTTCTTTTATCCTCACAGTGAGTCTGCAAGCATACTGCTGGCTCATCTGCCAGATGAGAAAATGCAGGTCTACAAAGCTAGGTGGCTTCTTCGAGGCTGAACCAGGTAATGAAACGTGGACAGGCTGTGTAGAACCAGCTGCATCTTGAGAGCCCTCACGGCTTACACCAGCTACTCAGATGAAGGAAAGCTGCAGGTGGGGATTTGTTTCTACGAATCAGATTCAAATCATTTTATCACACCGAAGTTTCAGCCAGTTAACATATGGTTGTGAATCTCAACAAGTTGCTCTACTGTGTGAAGGTGAGATTCACACAGAGAGACTTTCCACTTGGTCTCTCCAGTAGTTGGGTAAATGTAAATCAGAGCATAACATTCCCCAGCTCAGACCATCCAAGGGATTCCCAGGGCTATTCCAATAAAGCCCAAACTTCCCACTGTGCATTTCCCTACCCCTCTGTCATTTCCTTCCGTCCACCACTCTGCTTCACTTCTCCAGAGAAGCTCCTTCCAGGCTCCGAACTACAGTGCGCCCGTCTTCCTTCTCTGCGCTCTCAGTATTTTACCTGTCAGGGTCTTATCCTTTGCTGTATGAGTTCAAAGCACCTCTCTGTACAGAGGCCACACCTGGCCACCGTGCCTAACCCTGATGTGACCGATGGGGGGCACTGGTCACATTACTGTCGCGTTGTCTGTGTCACACAGCACACATTGCAAGGATGGTTTCTCTGTCGCATCGCTGTGCTTTTATCTACCGTCCTCCCTCAGCATCGCCCCGCGGGGGATTACTTCCTGTATCTCCCCCTATTATAGAAATCGTGGACGCTCAAGTATTGTGTATTAAAATGGCAAGTACTGAAGTTATCGCTAGATTACTTGCAACGTTTAGCACAACATAAATGCTATGCCGAGGGTCATCATACCGTATTCTTCAGGGGATATTGTCAGCAGAAAGTCTGCACACGCTCAGACTAGACGTAATTTTATTTTCCCAGCATTTTCAATCTACCGCTGGTTGTGTCTGATCTGCCGATCCCATAAGGACCAGTGCGTTTGTTTACTGTCTATTGGAGCGGCAACTTCATTTCAGTTGTTCATGGCACGGAAAATGGGTGCTCAGTGAGTATTCGTGCATTGATTGCACCGACTGATTTCAGTTTCCCTCAGTAAAACAGCGCCCGCCGAGGAGATGCCGGCCGAGTCGAGGGCGCTGCGTCTAGCAGCGCCTTTGGGCAGATCGCGATTTTGGCGGAGACAAAGGCAGAGAGAAACGCTCACCAGGAGCCAAGGGAGGCCCCGGAGATGACAAACAGAGGGCCTGGTTTTGCCCCAGGGTGGACTGCGCAGAGTCTCAGGTCTGCAGGGTGAGCGCAGAAGGGGAGCCGAGAGGAGGCCCGGAAGGACGCGGCAAAGCCCGGGTGGGAAGAACAGCAGAGCGGCGCTGCAACGAGACCGGGTCTGCCCAGCTGAAGCAGCTCGGTCCCTGGAGCGTCCGGGCAGGCGCCGCCCCCGGGAGGGGTCCAGCGAGCTCAGGCCAGGGCCTGGGGCTCCTGGACCACCGACCTCATTTCCCTTCGATGTGAAGCTCTTTACCAATTGGCTGCAGCGATGCCTAGAGGCCCGCCCCCATCATTGATTGGATGCGAGGCGGCCAAGCTCCCGCCCCCTTTCTACGGGTCCCTGTGCTTTGTTGCCTAGCAACTGATTGGCGTCGTCCGGCAGCACTGGCACCCGGGGGAAGCGGAAAGGGCAGCTTGCTAGCCCAGCCTGACGCTTGCTTGCACATCTCACTCCCGCTTGCGCGACCGCAGGGGGTTCGTTCAGCCAGGGGCTCATCTAAGTTTATCCAGCGGGACCCTCCACTGACTGGCAGGACCTGTTTCCCTCCCGGAAGTCCTAGGGTGGAGGGGCCAGAGGAGGAAAAGAAAGTCACTGTGCTATTTGAAACTTAGAAGCCGCTCATCCTGGCAGCATTCTGGGGTTCCAGAAAACAGGCGCCTTCTGTCAACTAACTGGGTGTATGGCAGGGGACCCCCAAGCCCCAGATGAGTGAGCCACAGTAACCCTGAGGAGTCCGGCAACAGGGCGGGACAGACGCCGGCTGCCTGACCATGCACAGCCGAGCTTATGCCTTGCTGCAAAGAGACTTCAGAGAGCTGATGGAGAAGGGTTACCCGGTGAGTCCTGGGTGGGGGTGGGGGTCTCATTGGGTCATGATTTTTGAGAAACATGGTTCATGTTTATTCTGTAAGTCGTGATTTAATTAAGCCTAATTTGCCATGATAGTATTACTAAACAAAAGTATTTCATAATAATTACTATCACTTAGAAATAAAAATGGCTGAAAATATTGAGTACATGGTGTTGAGTAACAAACTGAATTTGAGCCCAGAGTACTGGGGCCTATCAGATATAGAGTAGTTGGTGCAGGATGATGCTCGTTAATCATGATGCTATCAGATAAGTAGTATTTCACTTTCCCCTCCAGAACCCTGGGGCTCAGAAAGATTTGGGCCCAGGATTCCATTGCACGGATTCTGAATCCAGCCCTATGTTCTTAACCCTTCTGTTCTGCTACTCACTGTCCTGTGCAGTGAATTTTAGCAAGAAGAAGGTAAAATGCCCTTTGACCCTGTCACCAGTGAAGGTACTGGTGTCTGTGGTGCTGATTTACAGAGATGGAAAATGAATGAGAGAGAGAGGGAGAGAGAGAGAGGAGAGAGAGAGAGGAGAGAGAGAGAGACAGAAGAGAGAGGAGAAAGAGAGAGAGAGAAGAGAGGAGAGAGAGAGAGACAGAGACAGAGGAGAGAGGAGAGAGAGAGAGAGAAGAGAGGACAGAGAGAGAGAGAGAAAGAGAGAGAGAGAGAGAGAGAGCGCTCCATAGACAGAAGGTGCCCAGCGCTAGCAAGTCGCACTGCTGGCTAAAGTGCAGTGATGTGACCTTGTTTTCATCCCTGCTATGGAAGCGTAGAAGGGGAGAGACCCTCGCTAGAGATGTTAGGAACAATTACCAGGTTGGCCAACAAACATCCCAGAAACATGGGCCTAACATTTGATATGTTTCTGTGTTTTCTGACCTCTGTAGTTCTCTGGTGAAAGAGAATTCAATGAAGGGACATACAAATATAGATAAGGTAGATAAGAGAAATAAGATACTCATATAGGCAAGTACTTAGTACCTTAATAACTACGTGTTTGGGTAGAAATATTTATTGAATTATTTCAGTCTAATAACTGAAATAATTCTTATTTCTCCATTGGAACAATACCTCAGTAGGAAAAATTTATTTTTTATATGCAAGTGTAATTTTAGATTTGTTTCATAAAGTAAATGTGTGTAGCTGGGCATGGTGGAGCAAATGAAGAATCCCAGCACTCTGGGAGGCTGAGGCAGGAGAATCACAGGTTTGAGCCCAGCCTGGGCAGCTTAGTAACTTAACAAGAAATTGTCTCAAAATAAAAAAAAATAAAAATAAAAAAAAAAAGAGCTGAGGATGTAGCTCAGTTAGAAGGCCCTGGGTTCAATCCCTAGTACTTCAGAAGAAAGAGAGGGGGTGGCATAGGAAGGGACAGAGAGAGGGAGGGAAGGAGGGAGGACAGGAAGGAGGAAGGAAGGAAGGAGGAAAAGTTAGTTATGGCTGTGTCTAGATGACCCCCAAAGTCTCATGCTGTCATAAGTGGGGCATTTTCAGAGGTGGCTGGACTTAGGGTGTGTGCAATGTTAGGATTAAGGGTGCTCGGATTAAGGGTGTGAGTGCTACCTGCCCACCTGGATACAATATACGGGACAGAAAGAGGTTTGCTGCTAGTTACTTGTAGTTGTCACTGGCTTGCTGCTTGCTGTCCTCTCCCTTCTATGAACTGTCTCTCCTCTGTGATGCCCCTCTGCCCACCCCGCCTTGGAGCCCCCTGACTATGAACTGAAACCTCCACAAACTGTGAGCCAAATAAACCTTTCCTCCTTTAACGTTAGGTTTTGGGTGTTCTGTCTCAGAAAAGAGAAAAGTAAGACAGAAAGAAAAATAAAACATTCCCACTTCCGCATGCCTTCCATGTAGCATCCAAAGAGTCTTTAAAAGATTTGAAGAAACATGCCTTCCAGCTATGTCCTCCTTTCCTAATTTGCATTTTCAATTGGCCAATGAGTTACACAGCCGCGGGTAGCCCTCCATCCCGGTCTCCATCCTTCTGTGCCACTAGTTATTTCCACATTTTAGATTTATCAGTGAGCATGAATTCAGTAAGACATATAACACCTCTCTAGGTCCACAAATACATATACTCCAGGGGAAGAAGACATTTAGGTCTTGGAATTCAGCGTAACCTGGTATCTGACTTTCAAAGCAATAATCTTTTTGTCTAACTTTGCTTTTCATCTAAAGGGCATTACCGCCTTTCCCCTAAGTGAAGATATGATGGCATGGAAGGCTGACATTGAAGGTCTACAGAACTCAATTTGGCAGGGTTTGTATTTTCAAAACCAACCTATTTTTGAAATAGTTTCTACCTTTGATAGCCTGCTTTCTTGACATATATAATTAGGATACATTATATACTTTTCTGGAATGCTTTCTGTTAAGGTTGCATGGTATTGAGTCTCAGAATTCTAAAAGGGTTCATGTTATGTCAACATAGATTGAAATTTTTGGTTGGTGTTTTCCTTCATGTCAAATCTTAATTTTTAAAATTTATTTTGTTTTTTTTTTTGGGTTGTTTTTGGTTGCAGTGCTGGGGATCAAAACCCAGGGCAGGGGTTATTACAGTGCTATTGCATGTTTAAAAAGCAGACAGAACAAAGCATAGCAACTGAGAATATCTTCTGTCTTCCCTGAGGTCACAGGACGCCTGTTGGCTTCCCTTGGCTTTAAACTTCCACAGTCATTTCTCACTTTTCTCTCTACAATTTTCCCCCTCAGTTTCCATAAATCAGATTCCAAGAAGTCCGGGCCGTATAAGCTGTAAGGGCCACATGCTCTTCTGGTCACAGTCGCGTGAAACGCGGGGGGTGCTGCTGGCTGTGGACAGCTGGGCCGGGAGGGAGGCAGAGGTCAGCTCACTGCGCCTGCCCGCCCACGGGTGGCTTTCAAGGAGGGCACTGGAGTGGAGCCCTGAAGAACGTGGAAGCGTGGCCAGCTGAGGAGAGGGAGGAAATTCAGGGGTGCAAGCTGCAAGCAAAGGCTGCGGGCAAGGAAGGGGTGGCCTGGAAGGGGAGCTCAGGCAGCACAGGGCACCCAGGAAGCAGAGGGGACAGAGCAGGCGGTAACAGGTGAATCTTACAGCTGACACTGCAGTGAGACTTCTTTATTTCTCTATCACAGGATTAGTTTTCGATGTTGCAATAAATTTTACACCGGGCTACAACTCTGTCCCTCCAGCTGTGAGATTTGTAACAATTCCTTTTCATCCAAATGGTAAGGACAAGCAAGATTTTTATCATAGGGGCTCTATCGCTATATTTCTGATTCCAGTGAAGGCAAACCCACTAGAGACAAGGGTCCAAACTGCATTCCAGGCCCCACTCATGTATTGCAAAGCACCAACACTGCACTTATACCTAAATGCTGAGGTTTTAGTTTAGAAAAAACAACCCTACATTAAGGTCCTTTGTCATAAAAGAAAAACCCGACAACATGCATGTCATAGGGTCGCCACACTGCTTACTCCTTCTTTGTGTTTCATAGGGACATTCCCTGAACAACTTTATTATGGTCATAAAAGTAAGAATGTTTATTGGGGAAAATGTGAAAAGTCACAAAAAATGAACAATCACCTTAAATTCTAATGTCTTCAAGAGATACTACTTTGAACATTTTGCCAGATATATTTTCCTTTCCTGTGTATAGGCCTTCCAATCTCTGTAATACTATGTTTTACATTAGTCTGTAGACATACTAGCACAAGCATATATCATATTTAAAGATAGTAATTCCCAATCACAGTGTCGGAAATATGGAAAATAGAAATACCGTTGTCTCTTGGTACCTGTGAGGAATTTGTTCTGGGATCAGCCATTGGACACCGAAATCCAAAGATGTCCGTGTCTCCTAAATAAAATGGTCCAGCATTTGTGTACAGCCAATGAGCATTCGCCCACATACTTGAGATCATCTCCAGATTCCACATAATACCGAATACAGTGCAAATGCTGTCTGTGCAGTTGGCGAGCCATTGCTTACAGAACGGTGGCGAGGGGGAGCCTGTGCATGCTCAGAACGGATGCAATTTTTTCTAAACATTCTCAATCCACAGTTAGCGGAATCCACAGATAGAAAACCTGTGGATGTGGGAGACCTGCTGTCCCCTCCACACCCACTCACATAGGAAGTTTTAAGTGAAATATCCTCCATAATGCATACTGGCACTAAAGAAAACAAGGGAAATCTACAAAAGCTGGACTTTTTGGTCATTTCTACATCCCTAGAGTCTTCCATGCTGGGCCTTTGGTAGGTGCTCAGGTAGATTTTGGATAAATATTTGTGTCTGGAAATAAGTAGACAGTTCACTGTTCAATGAAAAATACTTCAAGCAACAAAATGTAAAGTACAATTCCATTCAATTTACGCACATGCGCACATGGATCCCTCCATGGACGTTCGTATAGGCCAGTGGTAAGGATTGCGGTGTGCAGTCGTAGACGAAGAACATTCATATTTTACTTTATATTCCCTTACATACTGCCTCCCCACTATCTGTGTAATTAAAACCTCACTTTGAGCATCACTTCCTGGCTCTGGAGGGGAAGATGGTGCACCGCCAGTCTCCTGGAGAAGCTTCTTGTGTTGGCTTTCCTGATGGGAACTCAGCTGTCCTGATCATCGGAGGAGCTCAGGACCTCACTGTCGCTGAGGATGGCTGTGGTACTTTTCAGGGGAGCTCTGGTTCTTACTTTGAGTGCCACTTCTTGGCTCCAGTGCAGATCCCTCAGCCTGCTGGCACAGAACCCTCGTTCTGCTGGCACAGACTTTCTATCTTTCACTGACCTTTGGACCTTCCCAGCGCAGATCCGTGAAACAGGCCTGCATGAGACATTGTCATGGGCTCTTGGCCTCCAGCTGGACTCCTGGGGGGCATTGTTATGGGCTCTAATTCTTCAGCTGGACTCATGCAGGACATTGCTGTGTGATTCAGACCCTCAGCTGGATTCTTTGGTCTTTAGTGTGTGGACAGATTTCCTGCACTCTTTTTGTATATGACTTTGGGTGGCTATTATAAAATCATCTTATAATTAAGTGTCCTGTATTTTTGTCCTTGCAAAACCCTAAACTAGAACAGCAGGCTAGGGAAGTCAATGTAGACTCCTATTGAATCAGCTAGAACAGTGCGAGGGGTGGTGGGGGGAGAACAGGGCAGCATAGTACTTCTCATTACAGAGAAAAGAAATAGAAAGAAAAATCAATGAAAACAAATTCTTCTGCTGTATTGTCTTGATGTTTCTTATAAATTTTCAATAATAATTTTATTATATATGTCCATTAATATTATCTACATCCATATTATTTCAATACAGTAAACCCAGATACTGGTGAGCCCTGTATCGATTTCCTGAACAACTCTCATAAGTGGAACCCAAAATACACATTGAGCAGCATCTTACTCGCCCTGCAGGTAAGAACAGACGCACTGCAGCGCTTCCTTTAATACTTGTAATTTAAAAAAAAAAAAAAAAAATCTATCTAGGGGCTGGGGATTTAGCTCAGCGGCAAAAGC